TATTTTTCGGTGTAATTTTAATTTCGGTAATTTCGGTTGAGAAACCAAACACCTAAATTAAATTTTAGATTACACCTAAAAGTCGCTACAGTACACACTGTATGTGAAAGGTACTTGAAGTAGGCTGGTCACCTAATTCTACATACACCTGAAACCTGGCACGTCCCTGATACCGATATTTTAATACACCTAAAATTACATGTTGTACAGAAACCCCTTTGTGCTCCTGTCCTCTAACCCTGATCATACATACAGTGCTGACAACTGAAATCCGACCCCTTAGCGATGCGTTCACATTCTAGGGATCTCAATTTCGTAGTTTGCTATCCCGTGTTGGGTCTTTGCGATGTGAGCGCACTGCTCAGGGGTCGGGTTTCAGTTGCAAGCACTGTACATCTTCTCGATTACCGTACTCGCGCGATTAGAGCCCGCTCTTGAACAGTGCCCTATCTCGAATAGTGCCCCAGTCTCTAAGAGCCAGTGAAAATAAAGCCCTCTCCTGATTAGTGCCCTCCCCCCCTCGAACTTGTAACTAAGCGTATGTGAAAGTTTGGTGTTCTTTAACCCTTATCCGTCCGACGAGTCAAAAAATTAAACTTCTTTTGCTAATGTTCTTGTCAATGTAATTGCACTGGTGGTTTCAAGATCAGTTTGAGGATCACAGTTCTTGTTACCGTTTTTTCTTTTAAAAGTCGTGATAGTTTACAGTAACCTTTAGGCTCTGTTTTTCTTTGTTCTATGCTGGATGACACAAATGTCCCAGCATTGAAAAAATAGTGCCCTCTCTTGAACAGTGTCATCTGTTGAACAGTACCCTATCTGTGATGGGCATTGAAAAAATAGTGCCCCAGGGGCACTAATCGCGCGAGTACGGTATCCATACGTCTTCTGCACTCCCATCCCATTCTCCCCGCACGTCCTCAACTTTAACAGTAAACCCTTCTCCATCCTGTCTTCTCCCCTCTCCCTAAAAATTCTCTAATAAATTGAGAAGATGGGTATTGATATCCCAATCCGCCGCAGATGTGTTGTTGCCATTGCTGATGCCACTCGTCCATTTCCCCTACTAACCCCTACTTATCTTTATCACCTTGGATGGCTACCGCCCATACTCTTCACTTTGGCCCGTGATTCCTACTGATTCCTCTGAGTCTTGAGAACACCATTGCATACCTGATGAGGGCACATTTGCCGAAACGTTGTAATAATTGATTGAGAAATGAGTTCGAGTTTGCAGAGTGAATGGGAAGAGAGCGAGTCTGCTCTGAACCTTTTTTTGCTTATGAATGAAGCTGCAGGAATCCTCACCACTGCTGTACTGAGTCTTGAGATGCTGGCACGTTGCAATAAGTAATACAACTAATGGTGCACAAGCTGGTGGGACCACAGCTGGACGTTGTTGGCTTGCAAAGCATAGGTTCCTTCCTGGACCCCCTACTCTTCGCAATGTTGTCTTATCCTATTCTCTGCACTCTTTTTACGAGTAAGGTCTGTGTAAAGAAGAAAGAAAGATGCACGTGTTCATATGCAGACATTACATGGCTTATGTGCACTCGATCATAATGCTACCAACACCCTATCACCTACTTTGGTCTTATCATGTTGAATTCTTTATTCGCACGATGGCACCATCGCTAATAAGATATTGTTGTTGGTTTTGTTGTTGTTGTTGTTGTTGTTGTTGTTGTTGTTGTTGTTGTTGTTGTTGTTGTTGTTGTTGTTGTTGTTGTTGTTGTTGTTGTTGTTGTTGTTGTTGTTGTTGTTGTTGTTGTTGTTGTTGTTGTTGTTGTTGTTGTTGTTGTTGTTGTTGTTGTTGTTGTTGTTGTTGTTGTTGTTGTTGTTGTTGTTGTTGTTGTTGTTGTTGTTGTTGTTGTTGTTGTTGTTGTTGTTGTTGTTGTTGTTGTTGTTGTTGTTGTTGTTGTTGTTGTTGTTGTTGTTGTTGTTGTTGTTGTTGTTGTTGTTGTTGTTGTTGTTGTTGTTGTTGTTGTTGTTGTTGTTGTTGTTGTTGTTGTTGTTGTTGTTGTTGTTGTTGTTGTTGTTGTTGTTGTTGTTGTTGTTGTTGTTGTTGTTGTTGTTGTTGTTGTTGTTGTTGTTGTTGTTGTTGTTGTTGTTGTTGTTGTTGTTGTTGTTGTTGTTGTTGTTGTTGTTGTTGTTGTTGTTGTTGTTGTTGTTGTTGTTGTTGTTGTTGTTGTTGTTGTTGTTGTTGTTGTTGTTGTTGTTGTTGTTGTTGTTGTTGTTGTTGTTGTTGTTGTTGTTGTTGTTGTTGTTGTTGTTGTTGTTGTTGTTGTTGTTGTTGTTGTTGTTGTTGTTGTTGTTGTTGTTGTTGTTGTTGTTGTTGTTGTTGTTGTTGTTGTTGTTGTTGATGATGATTTTATTTTCATTGGCAGTGACCAAACGAGCAGAGGCGCTCAATAACAAGGAAGCGAATGAAGGTGCCGAGACGCACGAGGGGACTTAAAAGCAGAAAATATTAGAAAATGGGGAAGGGGTAGGTGGAATCTGGTTCGAGATGGACAATGAGAGCTCTAATGCCAAGGGGCAACGAAGAGGTTGGTGCGACTTCAGCGATACTAAGGGAAGTGTGTGTTGCTCCCTACATGAGAGCTCGCGGTTTTCCTGCCGACTTGAATTCTCACTTGACTGACTCACGACTGCCATCCAGACAACGGAGAGTCGCCGTAAGTTTGTATCCCTGGTGATGGTTGTGCCTGGAGAGCACTATTATAAGTGGTGCTCTTCAGGCACAATCTTCCTCAGCGCACTAAAGCTCAACTGATGAGGGTGAATTCCCCGAGACACTGTGTATTGAGCAGGGAGTGGTGCTTTCTTGCAGGTTTGCCGAGTCGAAGGTTCGATGGACTTCTCGTGTGCTCTGGATGGTAGTCGTGAGTCAGTCAAGTGTCAAGTCAAGTCGGCGGAATAGCGCGAGCTCCAGTGTGCATGGGGAGCAAACCCATTCCAGCATAAAACAAAGGAAAACAGAGCCTACAGGTTACTGTCAACTATCATGACTCAACAGAAACGGTAAAAAGACCAGCGACCTTGATCCCGAAACCACCAGTTCAATGACATGGACAAGAAGATTAGCAAAAGAACACCAAACTTGCATTTGCGCTATTCAAGAGAGGGCTTTATTTTCCAACTTACTCTTATAGACTGGGGCACTATTCAAGATATAGCACTATTCAAGAAAGGGCTCTAATCACGCGACTACGATATTTACATGCAGGTCTATGTTGGATTCACTTTGCATTTTTCTTTCTTGCATTTTCTATCACTACGAATACGAATAATACTATAGCAGTGAGACTGAAAGAAACCGAGAGCATATTACTGTTTTGTGTGTTTTCTAGTCACGCGCACTGTCTATGCGCTTCCGGTCGACCTCGTACCTTACCACAGGAAACAAAAGTCAGCAGACTAAAATGATGGCACCTACGCAAATGTGCATCCTGGATATAACAAATGTGTTTTTGTTATCATTCAGCAAATAAATTGGGCAAAATGATTCATCGCTACCCTCAGAGTGCCTTTCCAGTGTTCTATTAGCACCCCTGGTTCTCAATCTATTGTTCTTCCTCTCCTGTGACTTAAAAAATCTCAGATTTTGAGTTTTTTGCACTCCATACATAATCTTATTTTCATATTTTATTGGTTTGGTGAGACTCCCATGATAGGTATCCATTTACCTCAGAAGAATCCGTAAATAAACACAACAAACAAACAAGTACGCACCATCCATCCTACACAGCAGTGATTGCATTGTTTCCTGGACGTTCATAGAAATTTGTTGTTAAAGGCAGTGGGTGAGCAGGATTTCGCTCGTTCACGTGCCAATGTTGTTTAGGCTGAGGTGGTATTCAATTCATCCTCACTACCAGCATTGTTTCGTATCCCAAAGAACATTGGAGTTGCAGAGAGGAAAATGTCCATATCAAACCAGAAATTTCTAATAATTATGCAAAAAACGTACATGTACCAATTCGCTACCTTCTTATTGGGAAGAAATTCCCGTTTGAATTCTGCGAAGTAAAATAAAGTAAAAAAGAAAGAAAAGAGCCAGATTCAACCTGTCATGTACAAATACTGCGGGACCAAATAAGCCGAAATATAATGTGCACAAAGTAAACATGGGGGCAGCGCAAACTGCAGGAAAAGAAAAAAGAGCTTTCTCCCCGATGTCGTTCAGCTTTACCTTGGTCTCGGCAAATAATAGTCAGGTTTCCAAGCAAAACGGACTACAATCTCAGTTATTTTGTGGCCTGTTCGACCATCTTTGAAGTTGTGCATTGTACAGTTGAGACAACGAACTAAAATAAAACAAAACAAAACAACATCAAAAACTGCACTATGCCTTGCAATTGCAACGTCCCGCAATGTCATTCTATGCCCAGCAAACAAATCGTGACGTTTCCTGTTGGGAGGTTTCAATGCTAAGTGGTTTTTGTGACAGATGACCGTCCCCGTTGGTTTCTCTTTACCTACATTGTACCAACCTAATTGTACACTCAGAGCATTCCCCAATGTCACAGAGGAACAACATGCAAGAAACAGGCACGGACAAGTGGAGCATATTTCAGGCAATATTGGCACGTTTTCAGCTGCCCAATGCTAGACATGCGGGCAACGCTTCACACAATAACGCAATTGAGGTCCAGTATAGACCAAGACACCGTCACCTGTGAATATTTGTCGGCACACTACTATAAACCCTATCTGGATATGATGGACATGCCAAGACACGATGGTGACACGAGTCCCAGTTTGCGCACGTGAAAGGGAAAAAGGGAAAAACTCGGAAATGTGTAACTGTCACAACAAAGCATCGATACGGATCCCGATCATCTAACAGGAAAAGGAACACCTGTGCGATGATTGACTAGTGGCTGAAACTTAAAGGTACAGCGGAAAACCTTCCTCCCTTTGTATTTCTGTAATATGAAACGCGAGGTTTCAAGATTCAGGTTATTGCGACGGTCACCAGAGAGCAAGGTCTATAAATTCAACGACACCACGAGATCAATCATCAGTCTTCCTACCAAGTCAGATCATAGTAGAAAGATTAAGAAATAGGCAAGCTAAATAACAACTTCTTCCATTTGCAGTCTTGAAATGTCTGCCCTGAAAATTCTTTTATTGCTTTGTGCAATGATAGTTGTCTCTCGTTGCGATATAGCGAGGCGTTCAGAGCCCGAGAGTGACAGTGATGAACAATTTTCGGACAGTGTGGATAGTCGTGACGATGAAAACCAAGACTTTCTTCCAAAGTTTTACAACCTCGATGATATCCCCGATGCACCAACGAGTGCTCCTGGTGACAACAAACGAACAGACTGTTTGGAAGAGCTGTTCACCCAAGCTGGATTACATAAGGAGTCCATCCCGCGCTACATTCAGGCCTTCCGAAACAACGAGTTGGACGTCGATGCCCTGTATGGACTAAACTACCTTGAACTTGTTACTCTGCTTCAGGGCAAGGCTTTTGGTATCAGCAATGCTGGAGAAATATTCCGACTTCACAACTGTATCCATGACTACGGAAAATGCATCATGAAACCGTTCTGCCAGAATGGTGGACGATGTGTACATGGAGATATCATCCGACAGCATATCTGCCAATGTCCTAAGAATTTCCAGGGCGACCATTGCCAAGAGAAGGTGGAGGATCGCCTCAGTAAGATACAAGACACTCTTGTTTTACTTCAGCATCAAGTTGCTCACTTTGGTGTTTCTTACACTCGCTGGGGAAAGGAAATGTGCAACGAGACAGCTGGAGCTTCCCTAGTTTACACCGGGTTCATGGCTGGTTCTCACTTCACTCACGATGGTGGTGCTGCCGAATATCTCTGCTTGCCCGAGGAGCCTCAGTATGGAGACTTCAAACCTGGAGAACAGTCAGGAAACCTGGTCTATGTTACTGAGTTGGAAACTACTCATACATTTGAGCCTTTCACCGGCCTGCACAATCACAATCCACTGTGTGCAGTATGCCAGGCTGACTCTCGTGTGTCCCACATCATGATTCCAGCTAGAAATACCTGTCCTTCGGGCTGGACTTTGGAGTACCATGGATATCTAATGGCGCAGGAGCATTCACAACGCCGCACAAAGAATGTTTGCGTGGATGTGGACCCAGACGTCAAGGGAACATCAGTAAGCCTGAATGGAGCTCTCTTGTACTTCACGGAGGTCACGTGTCAGAGTGAGATGCCATGTCCCCCATACGACCAGCAGAAGGAGCTAACATGTGCAGTGTGTACACGCTAAGAGGATTCCATTCACCAGAGAAACTTAATGATCCCTGGGGATCTGAGCATGATAGTAATTTCTCTAATCCCAGACGGCACATTAGCTTATGCAGGTTGGTAACTCCCCAAACCATATACATGTACTAGCATTCAGCGTTTGTTAGTTCTGTATTTTTACAAAAAGGTTTGTCCCCCATCTTGTTTTGGTTTCAACAGCAGTTGGCCATGCATCCGACATACAGCAATTGTAGAATGCATCACGTTCACACATACATCTATGCTAAGAACATTTCGCAAACACGTGTTTTGATTTTTTCTCCAAGATCTCACTAAAAAAGAATCACTTCCGAAGGAAAATTATTGCCTGTAGACTTTCAATGAACTTCGGTAGAGGCCCTTAGACCACTCGCTCTAAATCTCTCACAGTTGCCAACTTCATTATTTTTGGCACTTTGCGGCACGTTTGTGCTGAATTTTCTGTCTTTTCTACTTTTCGATCACTCCGGCTGACTACATCTGTCTCCCAACGACGGTCACTATACGGCCTTACACTACTCTGAACAACTATCCAACTACTATAAATGTTCCGAAATCCAAACGGGTACCCTTTTCCTAACGGTACCGAAGATTACTGTGCGGTGCAACCTAGAACAGTGTGATGCCGACAGCGACTTAACGCTATTTGGCCCAGAATCTGCGAAAACCAGGCTTAGGGTGAAATTTCACAAAATGACTTTTTCCCATTTTCAGCTTCTATTGGGCAAGGGGGGGGGGGGGGGGTCAGGAAACAAAATATTACAGGTGTGGGTCGACTCATAGTGGTATTAAAAGCATCTCAAACACACCAGGGTATTGTGTTAAAAAATCCAAAAAAAAACACAAAATTGTTATCACAGAAAAGAAATGAAGAGAGATCCACCAGACTGAAGGAAGAGACATGGATATTTTTTGTTTAGGTGACATGACAAGGTAGGCATGTCGGGGCAGGCTTGTTGTGGCCCCTTCATGCTGCAGGCTGTAGTGGCCATGCACAGTTCTGCATGAATTTTGTTTGCTCCTCACTATACTACTAGTGCACTCAGCACATTCTGGGGCTGAATACATGTACTGACATGCTCTGGCGCTACACACCACAAGGAAACCTGACTCCAGTTGAGATGGCACCTTTTGAAGGGTGAATCTAGTACACCTGTTCAGAAACAAGCAAGAACACAGCCTTTTCAAACTGTTCCCTGTTCATAGTAAGCGCATAGTGTGCTGGCGTGCTGCAGTATCTGCTTGGTGCTGACCAGCAAGTGAAATATCAGCACGCGGTACAATCCCTTGCAGCTAGCCGTCCAGCGAGGAAAGTCTCGAGTGGGGGCCTCTCGATCTGCTCACTCATTCGCCTGGCATTCAGTAGCACTTCATCGCCAAGGGTTTCAATTCAAAACCGTTTTCACACTGCGCTTCAAGCCATTTTCCTCGTGAACTTGCTGCAAACGTATGAGCTCCGCTGCGCGTGTTCCCATTGCATGAGGCCCAGAAACAGCTAGTATCTCCGTACTTCGATTGGCTGGATTGATGTCGTCCAGGTTCTCCTCGCTATCGCCATCACGACTCTAACTGGAGACGATTTCTTCACCATTTTCCGCAAGCAGCAGCTAGCGCAGAAATTTCGCCATCCATGAGTGTAGGAGATGGAATCCGTTCGATCAGCTCAAAAACTCTTCATTGTGACTAGAGGAGTAGCAGGGATACTCTACCGGAAGCCCTTTGACTTCCCTGACTGCTGAAACCCTTCCTGCCATGACTGCTACTTCTTTTTTTTTTTTTTTTTTTTTTTTAATTTCGGCCAGTCGGCTACTATCATTTTTCGTCTTGGGGGCTAGACAAGGGGAAGTAGCCATGTCGGGGCGTGAGCCCGCCTTTCGGCACCGGGAGTTGCAGCTCGCTCGACTTGACTCTACTGAGTGCAGAGGACCCACACCTTGATCTGGTGAGCTGCGTCGTGGGGATTTTGCAGTCAGATGTGCGACTGCGGGGCTCGAACCCGCGACCTCTCGGGTCGCAGGCAAGTGCAGTACCCAATGTACTACCGGGGACACTTCTTCAAACAAGCGAGATTCTCTTTGGTTCCACTTCACTGCACTCGATCGTCCACGCGACACAACCTTTTTACAAAACATCATTTTTCTCAAAAAAATGATTTTCACCCTAAGCCTGGTTTTCGCAGATTCTGGGCCATTTGTCCCACAGAAAAGAACCGGATCGGACAGACCCGGTAAGCGGAAAACGTCTGCCGTGCCATATTCGCAGGAATATAGCCAGCCCTCTGGATACAATATCTTGGTTCCAGGCCATCCAGGGTGTGCACAACACTTCGGCCATTACATAGTACACTGAGTGGTGAAAATGTTGATCAGAGCCGCGCGGGGGGGGGGGGGGGGGGGGGGGGACACATTACGCTGAAGCCTATGGTGAGTATTATTATTATACTCTGCTCTGGTAGACCACTACCTCATCACTGGTTGCTTTGTACATGTATGTGTGTAAAGGAGATCCCCCCCCCCCCCCCTCCCCTCCAGGTGGCAAAACAATGTTGGAATGGGTCTATAGTCTGTCGAAGTGCTGACGACACGCTGCCTGAAAACTCGTAGTTGCGCGTAGTTACAAGGCCAAGTGGTGACAAACAAGAGTCTCGTCACCTGCACTTGTCGTGTTTCCAACGGTCACGGCATCACTTTGACTGGGGCTCGCGCTCGAGCAAGATCGCGAGTTCAAATTATTAATTTTGTGTTACTTGTCTTGGAGAAGTTTCTCCTTTGCTGTCAACCCATAGTGTAGTATATTCTGACTGAGTGTTCACCAGCACCTGAGAGCTAGGAGTTCTGATGTTTGCTTGCCGCTGGACAGGGAAACGAGCACAGAATTGGTTGGTTTCAGAACAAACAAAAAACAGCGATCGCTGCGATTCGAAATAACAGAGACACTCGCCATTTTTTCTTGACCAGCGACTGCATGTAAAGACAAACGGCACTACAGGCACAGCAATGGCTCAGCAACAAATCAGCTTGAGCTTCTCCTTCTCTACTAAAATGAAAACTAAAAACCCAGCGACAAGTAACTTAGTTGACATAAATATTCTCGCTCGCGCTCCCCAGTCAATATGATGCTGTGTTCACTGTTCACTGCATGCTGCCGCCACTGGAAACACGACAAGCGCAGGTGACGGGACTTTTGTTTGTTACCACTTGGTCAAGTCACTACGCGTTGTCAAGAAGCAGTGACTTCAGACTTTGCGGCATATTGTAGTAACATTAGGTATATCTCATGGGTTCTTCTGTTGCAGAAAAATTGGGCAGCATTTTATGGCAAGTCGGGTTCACCACGTTAGGGTGTTTACGCCTGTCCCAGACGACGGCTGCAATGGCCAACCGGTCAACAAAGAAGTTGAGGCCAAAGAGAAAGATTTATTTCATGCTTATAATGAGGGAGTGTGACGTAGGCGCCGGATCGCTACAGCATCTCCTATTCTTGAAACAAATAGAAAGAAGGGACGATAGATTACGATTTATAACTAACAGTCCATCGATGTAACACGTCTTAAAGGGGAAGTTAAAGGGGAAGTCCGGTGAAAAATTTAAATTTCAGGGTCGGTAGAGTTTCGGCCGCTGAGTCGAATGGTGTTGGTCCCACGTGTCTCCAACAAAGCGTTCTCGAGATATTTCCGTTTGAAAAACTGAGTTTCGGGGGCTGCGCCATGACGTCATGCGGCCGCGCCACACCCTCTGCAACGTCATAGCGTGCAGCTAGGTCAAAAGGAGTGCGTGAAAGCAATACCGGTAGTGTCAGTGCTATTTCAAATGATTTGGCGACTGATATTAGGTGGTGCAAGCGACCCCGAAGACATGTAACTCCTTGTGAGAGTGAGGATACAGCCATGGCTGACCTTCATGAGTTCGGTCTGGGGCTGAGAACCTCGGTAGTCAGCTGAAGGAATGGCCGCGCGGGCCGGTCAAGAGTGAGCGCTACTGAGTTTCCGACTGATGAAGAAGCAGCAGCTATTGCAGACGAGGCTGATGTAATTATCAGATCGCTGGAGAGCAGGGTCGCCAAAATGGAGAAGAGTGATGCGAGTGCTCTAAATGTTGTTCCATACCGATTAGATTCGCTTAGACTCCAGTAGCCTGCCACATGGTGATGTTTTGGTGCGAACTTGGAATATTTCGGACTACTCAATTGGAGAACAGTGCAGGCTCTTTGAACCACGGGCACGACTCTTCGCTCGCAACGCTATGGAATCTGAAAGTTCTAGGTCCGAGAGCTGTTCGCTGTTTTGTCACTTGTCACGGTTGTGCACTCATCGCTGTAGCATAAAATAATGAGGCGCCGCGGGTGCGGAAAACTAAAATTTTCTTTCACAAGGCACAACCACCCGCACCGGCAAGGAGAAACGCACGTTCTCTGCCTGCATGACTGTACAATACGACTGATACGAGTGTAGACTGTAGTACATGACAAGTCCGTGTGTTCACTAGTTTTCTGAGTCTTGTGTCAGTTGTGACATGAGTTTGTTGACTGCATGCACTACAGCTAGCTAGATAAGACACTGCACGCACTGCATGCACGCAGCGCAGAGCGCATAGACCATGATGTAGATGGGCCAACGGAAAAGTCCAACTCGGAAACGGCTAAAATACGGTATAACCTCCAGGTTTACCGAGCTGAAAATCACAGGGTACGTAGTGTTTGTAACACTGAATCGAATGGTCTTGGTCCGAAGAAGCTGCGATAAACGGTTCCCCAATCGAACGCGCTCCGAATATGGCCATTTTTGTACACAACTAGATGGTGTGGCTACCTGGCTGCACGCTGTGACGTCATCACCTGGATCTGGGTGATGCGCGCTCAAATTCGCACATGTTCGATTGGGCGTATCTGACGAACCATAAGCCGCAGCCTCCTCGGACAAAGACCATTCGACTCAGCGCCCCGAACTCTACGGACTGTGAAATTTAAATTTTTCACCGGACTTCCCCTTTAAGGCAAAAATTAAAATTTCACCAGTTGTAGTCTTCGGTTTGCTGAGTCGAATGGTCTTGGTCCGAGAAAGCTGAGACGCTCCCTTCCTACTTGAATCCCAATCGAACTCGCGCACTTCCACCGAAACTGGGTGACTGCGCCCTAGTAGATGGGGATTTGTATGCAAAATGTCACTAAAAGCGCCATTTCGTTCTTATAAAAGCACGGATGACCGGGATTGGCCCATATGTTGTAGTCTTTTGGACGCTGAGTCGACTGGTTTTGGTCCGAAAAGGCTGCGATGCAGCGTTCCTCCTTTATTCCCAATCGAACATGGTTGAAGAAGCGGTCACGTGCTCCTGGGTGCCCAAATCACCTGTTCACCACGCCAGCAGGCGACAACTTTCACACCAAGGTTCAACTCGAGTTCAACTCGAGTGACAGGACTGCACCCAAAAAAGGTCAAACAGGCTAGTAAGTTGTACCCTGCAGGCACCGGTGACCAGGTGACTGGTGTACGCAGCAGCACGTGACCACTTGTTCGACCATGTTCGATTGGGAATAAAGGAGGAACGCTGCTTCGCAGCTTTTTCGGACCAAAACCAGTCGACT